GTTGTCACGAACACACACGTTGATTGCCGAGCTTGCATCATTTGGATGGAGCCGCCCGGTCCCTCAGGTTTCCTTTACCCTCCTTATTCATGCATCTCGCTTTGATGCCCCATTAAGGTAGTGTCAAATTTGCTTGACTATTTAGATTCCCCGATATGGTTACTTGTTTATTAAAGAATGATTAATGTGTTTCCATTTCATTTTTTATTTTCCTTTTATTTTAGTTTTGGTAAGCATTATGCGAGATATAATTCTTGAACATCCTGTTGAACTTCATTAATTAATTATGCGATGATCTAATTGGTTTCTTACAACCATACACATTGATTCACTTTGCATTGTGTTTTTTAGATCATATACGTATGTTTTTACTTATGGCGTGATTATAGTTTCATAAATCAATTCTATTTATTCTGCATTTGCGAGAGGATGCCCATGCGAGAAAAGGCCCCGGTTCATCAACTAAAAGGTTCTTTTTTCATTTCCCATTATGTTTTACTTATCTTATTTTAGACATTCACATTGAGTCAGCACTTGCAACTACATTGTTATGTGGATTGAGTTTGTAATTTTAAGTTGTAGACTATCTGAGTGCAGTATTCTAATTAGATTACGACTCAATGTCTTCAGATTCGTTGGAGCTAGTTGATAAGATGTCGACAAGCCAAAAGGCTTGTATTTGAGAGCACTCAACAAATGTCAATTACATGCTTTTTTATTTTAGTGGCCTTTTTTGATGTGTTGTACTGCTTTTCTCAGACGATGATGCTAATGTGATCATTGCCCATTTAGGTATGAGGTCCCTTTGCGACAAGCGAGAGGTTACCCTCCTCTCTCTGGTACAACCCTCTGCATCGGCTCCACCAAATAGAAGTGCAAAGGGAATGGCTGTACTATAATTTTAATACATTGCGTATGGAGTTAGTATTTTACAAATGACTAGATAAAATTAGATATATTCATTTACAACTTATCTAATCTTGTTTATGAATTTTTTATTTATATTTATATGATCTGATGTATGTACACATAATTAGAGAATAATTTAATATTTTTGGATTTTAAATTTTGCTATCTTAAATTTCCATTATTCTTTTCATTCTACTTCGGCTTGTCCTTTTGTTAATTAACACTTTTCATCTTGTTCTGAAAGCTCACAAGATTTTTCTATTCTTTAAAATCATCTACCTTTGTTGTTTATTATTTTCCTTGTCTGGTCCTTTTGGTATTCAGATGCAAGGCATTCCCCTTCTAAGACCCCTACGGTAGCACCTACTTCCCGTGACCACTCTCAGAGAAGGTATTGTTTTCTTACAATCTTGTGTACCAAATTTCCCACCAATCATAATCGTCTGAGGCATATCCGTGTACTCTTCCAATTTGTATATTCTATACTAACATGCTACACAAAAATCTCCTTTTATCTCCTATTTAACCATACCCCTGGTTTTATTTTTTCCCCAAAAGTTCATGGATCATTTTTTTTCTATTTGTTTGTAGGACTCATGCTACTCAGCGTACTGTGGATAGGGTCCCGTGTAACCTTAAGAGGGTGTTTTTTGAGAGCTCATAGGAGAGGTTCATACGTGTTTCAATTTATTATAATTCTATTTATTTCCGAGAATCACCGATTAATGTTAATTCTTAGTCTGTTGTTAAAGTTTATCTGTTCGTGGCCTTTTTTTAGGTTTGAGCATCATATTCGACCAGAGCATGTGTTGCCTTCTGCAGCTGGTCACGACAGTGATGACGACGACTTCATGCCCATTCCCAACACCCGTTCATCCTCACACATCGACAAATCTAAGGATGTTGGTCCGAGGAAAACTAGGCAAACACGAGCATGATTGTCGACCGGTGCATGTACATAGGTGTATACCATTTTTTTATTTCTGCACTTTCTTTTCATAAGAGTTATCATTCTAAAGCTCCTCTTCGTATGTATCACTAGTTTGTTTTTTCCTTCAATATACCACAAATCTACTATCATGTCTTTGTTGCCAAATCTCTACTTTTCTATATCTGTTTTGCTTTCTACTACCCCTGCAATTTTTTTTCAACTACACTACCCCTGCATTAGTTTATCATTCCTACATCCCTTTCCCCAATTATTAGTTTTTTTAGAAATCTGATTTCTTCTCAACTACCCATGCATCAGTTTATCATTTCTACAGTGCTTCTCAGAATTCCGAGTGTCTCTTCTTTTTTATCCATTCTTGTCCTTACTATTTCTAAAATTCGTGTTATTTGTCCCAGGCAAGACAAAGGAAAAAGAGAGCTACCAGCCGTTCTTCTATTGTAAATGTTCGGTGCAATCCCAGAGATGTTATTTTCACCACTAACTTGTTGAACCCATGACAATATCTCGCTATCGAAGCTGATGGGTTTGGTCATTTCTTTGAGAATGAAGATCGATGTTGAGAGAACAAGAATCGCTAACTTTGGCTATTAGACCACACGACTGATCGATCGTATGCTAATTAGGATTGGTGCGAGCAAGGTCCTTCCGATCACCCCACAAATAATTAGCATGGTTCTTGGTTTGCCTATACGTGGTGAAAACTTCAAGCAATACTTATGGAAGGAAGGTATCATATTTTGCCAAATGACTTATCTCTCGATCTTAACCAAAGTCTCACTTTGAAGATTGTGACATACATATATCAAACCTGCAACAAGAGATCTTAAAGGAAATGTGAACCCCTCATGAAGAGATGCTTCTTCATGATACTTTTGCAACAGGTTTCTACTTCCCAGCAGCAGTAACACCATTGGTTCAGTTGACATCAAGAGGACAATGGATCACCAATTGTTCGAGAGTTGTTGTGGTCCCAGTCTGTATTCAATGATCTCCGGATAGCTGTTCGCAATGGTAGCACGATCGTGACAAAAATCAACTCACTCAAAACATATATGGCTGTGCCATTTTCCTGCTAGTAAATTTCTTTTCATCCATCCATCTTTTTATTTATTTTTTACAGCTTTCCTACCACCTAACAATGTATGGCTGTGCCAATTTTTTTCATCCCTTCTTTTTTGTCAACAGGTATACTATCTCGACAACATTGACCACCCTGTCTCATTGGTGGACCGGACTTCGACTCCATGCCTCACCTTTTATGATAATGCTCTAATAGATCGCTTAACTGTTGCTGATAGAACTATAACCACTCAGGGTGCACATACTTTTGGTGTCCAACCTGTGAGTCAGCTATCTTATCTGTTATATTCCTTTTCTTTTTTACAACCATATTATTAAGAAGCTTGTTTTCTTCACTTCAATGCTATCTCTAACAGTTCAAGCCATGGAGTACCACCTGCTATGCTGCTGCAGATGTCCGTGGTGCTCCCTGTCATAACATAAATGTTCCTGCGGCAGGAATATCCAATTTAGACATCCCACGCCTCCTGGATTTGTTATTTGAGCCGCTAGATGATCTGACTGGCTCGCATAGAGAGAGAGTGCGGGGTTTCTTTTCTGAGTTTGATCACACACTCTCTCAGAACAAAAGTCCATTGAGAATTCTATTGCAAACATTGTGAGAGCCCAATTTTGGTTAGCTGATCAATGTCGTCCATTCATTCATGAACTCGTGGCATCACAAACCCGAGACACCAACATTCCAGGTGACACTTCTAGGACAATGCATACACGCAACGATCATGGTACCCGTGAATCAGCCCATTGTACCCCGCCTTCAATGCCAGACAAACTCTTGCTTTAGTTGATAAATTCGTTATCTCACCCTGTGTCTTATTGCTACGTATCAAATATAGTCACACATTTTTTCCATTTATGCCCAGGTCATGAGATTTATTCTCATGGTAGCTTTGTTTCTGCCGGTACTTTACTTCGGAGCCAGATTGATGAACAATCACCCGTTCGCAACACTCCAGGTATTTTCTACTTCCCCGATTGCATGTTTTTTTATCTCCATTCTTTGCTATTTCTATTTGTTTTGTTATGTCATTTTCGTTATGTTTCATGTCTTCTACATTTGTAGGTCCTAGTTCATTTAACCCCACTTCACCGACAGGCCCATTTGGCTCCCCTGTTCATTGTGTAGTTTCACCCCTCACATTTCTGAGGACTTACCTCGTCCATCAACTGCACCGATGCGCACCTGGACAAGACCAAATGGTTGCAAGTACGCATCCATATCACATTACTTCATTGCTACTTCCTGGTTAGTCATTCGTACTACAGACAACACGATATGGAGGGAATAAGAAAAGAATCTTGGAAGGAGGAAATTGAGGACAAAATGCAAAATGGAATGGGCATCGGGAAGGGAAAGGATGGAAAGGTTATAGCTTGCATGAATCCATTTTGTTTTGTTTTGATTGTGAGTTTTGTGATGAGTATACTAACAAAGTTTCAAATCATAAAGAAAGAAGATGTATTCAACTGGCGGCACTGGCATGGAATACAAATTTATGAGGACCTATGCCTGGTAGACGGCGAGTTACCACCACTATTGGCACGGAATGGATCAACCAAGGGTCAGATAACCAAGGTGAGTGGTGATCCTCAAGACTTTAGTTAGTTAAAGGGAATATTATATAGAGGTTGTGAGAGGTAACAGTAGGTGCTGATTAAAATCATGCAGGATGAGGTAGAGGAGGAAGGGGAAGAGGCAACAAGTAAGAATCGGAAGAATAGATAAAATAGACAAAACAATCTGAGCAATAAGTGCACCTCTATTCAACACATAACTCAGTGACATGCCCAACGTCATCGTCATCGCCTCGTGGGGGTGCCAAATCCAGTTGCGGAGTGCCAGAAATAGGCATGGTAAAAAAGAATATTTGCATTCAAGGGCCACAGATGGTTGCGGGCCACACAATTTTGAAGGGTGAAATACTCATGCATGTAATTAATTATAAGTGTTAGATAAATGTTCATGCATGTAATTGATTATAAGATGGAAAGGCGTGTTGTTTACTTGAACAATACACAATTGTATGCATGTAATTACTGTTCATATTGTGACTAACTTTCAAACTAGGTCAGCCTCATCAACATTTTCATCATCAACATATTCATCATCATCATCTGAATTCCTATGAATTTCTATGTAAGAACGGTCTTCCAATAGCCTCCTCCTTTCCATCGGCCTTTCCTCCTGCATGTTTCTATCATTTCCATGATCAGACTTGTTTTTCTTGTTATTTGCTCCTGCATGTCTGCCCCTCTTTTTATTCTTTTTCGCATCAAGGCGGTCTTTATTCTTTTCCAACGTTGGGCATGTCACTGAGTTATGTGTTGAATAGAGGTGACAAACGCTGCATCTTCTATTTCCCTTCTTCTCGCCTTGTGCTCCAAGAGTGACTTCATTCTTTTCTGATGATGTCTTGCAACGTCCCTTTGTCTTTGCTTGAGGTGGTCGATCCATTGAAATCCTCGTCTCCTGTGTTACACCGACCTGTCCATGTTTTTATCATAAAAATTTGCTCAACCATAATATATTATTAATTCTTTAGTGACTGCCCAGATTATCTCACATTGTGTGCTCCTATAGTGTTCTGGACACTGGACTCCCTATTCTCTCTCCCATCCCATCTTTCTTTTCCAACTCCGTGTAGTTCAATAATCATTTACTCATTGTCAGTTAAAATTTGACACATACAATTATTATATGCACTCCAATTCCAAGTTTCATCCAATTTGAATTTACCTCTGCTGCTACTCTATCAACATGATCATGACATGTGTCAATTACTGTGCCAAGTGCATTATTTGTTTGCCTGCTCCCCTGTTATCGAAGAAAATAATATTCATTTATCACCATCGTTATTGTCACAATGCCACCTTGTTGGATGGCCCAAATAAAAATCAATTACTTGTGTACCCTCTCCGTGCCCCCACACATCATGCTGACCCCCCTCTCCCTATCATCTTGCCTAAATGTTTCCTGTGTTTCACCAACATTACCACAATTTTCGTAAAAAACTTTATAACTTGGAACCATTACCATACACTCTTAATTCACCATTCAAATACCTATCCAGTTGTATTCCTTCCTGTCGCATTTGAATTTGGCCCAATATCATGCGGGACGTCTTTTATTTCGTTGAACAGGCTATCCATTACTTCAATTGCTCTTTGGAACGCAACATTCGACATGGTATCTGCTTGCACAACTTTTGTGCTCTTGGTCAGTAGCAACTGTGTTCTATAGCTTGTTGTGTTGCCATCGGCTCCTGTCAAAAGCTTGTCTTCCTTGCTAAATGCCAATTCATTTCTTGCAAACTTGGTGTATCGCTTAAAAATGTACTTCACAGGTATTTTATCAACTTGAATGTGAATGAAGGTCCGTAGCAAATGCACGCAAAATAGGCCTACATGGTACGATTTCAACATCCTTATGACTTAGCAGAGTACACCAGTACGAGATTAAGAGATCAAAAACTAATGTTCAAATATTTATGATACCTGTGTGTTCCCATTCTCTACACTCGCAACTGAAATCGCCGTTCTCTTTGTCTGCCCTTACTTTGAATTTGTGTTGCCCCCATGTTATCTTCGCAGTCTTGTTTGTGTGACATACTAGGTAGCAATTTCTTCCTGCTTCAGTATTGTCCTCAATCTTATATGCAGTGTAGTCTACTACTTTCTTCTCAAAGTCTTTAAACACATTTCTAGTGTAAATTCTTCCCATTTGTATCTCGAATTCCCATTTGCTCTTCGTAAGCGTCTTGCTCTGCATCACAAAACAACACACCTACATTATAGATTTCACTAAAACCAATAATGCATTCTTATATTATGGGTTCAAATTTTGTTTATCGTTCCCTGGTAAGTCTTTGCAGATTCCTTCATCTTCCTTGTATGCACAAAATTCAGCACTTGCATTGCAAACCGGTGCAATGCTGTTTTCTTTCCCACAAAACATTTCTTCATAATAAAATTAGTGCTTTCGCTGCGCTGTGTAGAAGCCATTCTTCCACAATATTCACCTTTGAAATACGCGGGGATATACCTGCTGCGTTGATCATAAAGGCTCTAAAGTGCACTATTTTTTTCTAGATTAAATTCTGTTATTAGTTCCTTCCATGCCTCCTCGAACTCTCCTGGTGTTAGTGGATGGTTTAGCACAGAATTAAATTTTTCCTTGAAGTCTTCTTTCTCATACATGCTATACAATTCATTCAGGTTGGCTGATAGCTTGTTGACTACATGCCACCTGCATATTTTGTGAGTTATCCCTGGAAACTCCTTCTTGATTGCTGCTTCCATTGCTGAATCTTGGTCTACAAGTTTTGTTTCACATGCTTTCATTTAAATCATGAAAATTGACAGTATATCACGAAACCACATTACACTTTGGTTATTCCAAGCAACTAAATTTATCATATAAATAACCTTATGCAAAATATAAAAAATTGGACACCTGTCAGAATACATCTTGTTCGGTTTTTTCCCATGCATTTTTTAAATGCTCTGAAAACCCACTCGAATGTTTCCGTTGTTTCATCTTCGAGTAGTGCACATCCAAAAACAGTGTTATGGAGATGATGGTCAGAGCCAACAAACATAGCCAGTGGTTTATCATAAACATTTGTTTTATAGGTTGTATCAAATGACATTGCATCTCCAAAATCTACATATTCCCCTTGCATGCTGGCATGACTCCAAAATATGCTGTGTATACATCCATTCAAGTCAACCTTTGCCTCCCAGCGGAATTGGGGGTTTTCTGCCTCACAGTCTTTGAAGAATTCCAGCAGCTTGTTGACGTCATTTGCATGCTCCGCCCTCATATTAGCCGTCTTTCTGCAGGTTAGTCGTACATAAGCTCATCACATATCGACAAGAGTTGAAAAATATATTATGTTTTGCTACTCACCGGTTTTTCAAATCTCGATCTGTCATCGCTATATTCTCCTCACCTCCATGCATATCTCTTAATATGTTTCTAATGCTATGGTTAGGAACATCATTTGATTGTAAGTCATCAACATATTCTAGAAGCAAAGGATTCTTGTACTTGTGCGCCCTCATCTGTTTTGTTTCTGTAGGTTTTGGGAGCAACACGTGGTTATGGTTCAGTCTGACATCTGTAATCTCTGCAAATTCTTCACTATTTTCTTTGTCACGTCTAAACTTTAGCTTGATGAATGCCAGGCATGATGTCTTCTTTGTTGTCTTGCCCCTGACGCGTTTTGCCTCGTTCCCCTTGTAGTATTTACCTATTCCATAATTATTGCACCTTAAGTACCTAGTATAATCAGTTTTGTTAGCCTTCTTTGGCTGGAAACCTGCCTTCTCAGCATATGTACAGTAGAATTTATGTGCTTCATCCTCTGTTTTGAAGCACATACCCACTCTAGGAATCAAAGCTTGGTCCAAGTTTTCTTTCTGTTTTAAAAAATAATTATCATAACCATTTCAGAATTATATGCTTACCATTTACACTACTGAAACAAATAGCCTGTTTTTAAGATCTACTCAACTCAAATTACCGGCAAGGCCAATATTACACTTACATGGCTGTATTTATGCTCTTCGTCTGGTGTCACAATCACTGATGGGTCAACAGTTGCAGGCGGTGAGAACAAAGTTATGCTAGGTCCTTCTTGACCTGAATGAGAATAAAGCTTAAAATGTATGAAGCTGTACAAACCTTAAAATGGAATAACCAAGCACTAACCCTCGGTTTGGCAGCATGCTTGCGGTGTGCGGTTTCCTTCGGTGCTTCTTTCATTTGAACCATTCCCCTAGATTCCTTGATTTTCACCAACCAGTAAACTATCGACAAAGTTGCAGCATGGAATGTCAACCTGTTGCATCCCTATATTGCATCTTGTCACCTCTTCAACAGCGACACCCTCTTCGTTCATCTCTGCAACACATCTATTCTTTCCTACTTCATCAAATTGCAGCCTTCTCGTTGCCATCCTTATTCACAGATCAACAAATGTTTAGGGCCCTTCAAGACAATTCTACATATTAATCATCATTACTTAATGTCAAACATTTTGGAAACAAAAACTCTCGAAACCTACACCTCTCTTTTCCTTGTCTCAATCTCTTATATTTTTCTTTCCTTATGCAATTCATTATTTTTTTGCCTATTGATGCATGCAGATTCATAAATTTCTTTCATAATAATCGGATTGTTTCTCTAAATCTATTTTTCCATCTCTCTTTCCTATGTTGCTTTCTTTGCTCCTACCTCCAGCTTCAATTGGGTTGATTGGGATCCGTTGTCATTTCAGACATGGCACGTGTATGCACAGAGCAGAAACTAATCTCCACAAATTAGTCAACAATCAGTCCCATTGAATGAACTGGTTCAACAATCTATAAGAGTGCATCCATAAATTGGGGACGCAATCAACAGGAAAAGAATCGATAAGAGCATGTCCCATTCACTGAACAGGTAATTCATTTTTATACCACAATCTAATCCCCAAAACAAATTTATGATCATGTAAGTTATTATGGACCAAAAATTGTACATGATGCACTCCTATTGAATGAGCCGGTTCATTCAATCCGACATATTTCATCCATAATTACCTGTCCTCCACAGCCGGTTCCCTCCAATCTTCAGGACAGGGCAATCCACCGATGTCGGTTCCTTGGTCTGAGTAGCCTGCGTCATCCCTGATCGAAGAACGAGCGCACGGTCAGGTTCTCGGGCGGTTGACGGCGACCGCTCTTCTTGCGACCGAGATTTACGCTACGCCAGCGAGGGCTGCCATGAGCGAACGCGGCGGGCGGCCGCGACCGACGGCGAGGGCTGCCAGCGAAGCGCGGTGCAGTGGCGGCCACAACCGCCGACGGCAGCGCAGCGCAGAGGCTGCTGCTGCGACCGCGAGGCGAAGCGCCTTTGTGTTGTTCTCGGTCGTTTAACTGGGAATTTGACTTCCTGCTCGGAGTAGCAACCGCAAGGTGGTGTACGCTGATAGGGAAGACGGGGAAAAAATTGGTGCGGACCAACCGCACGGAAGCAGCGTGTGGATGTGTGGATGATACGTGGTCCCATGGGGTGTTCGATTACCACAATTACGTTTAAGCTGCTCTCGTGGCACACACATCATGGACACGGTCTGCACCAGGGTTGCGTACGGATGGACCAAATCCAATTTTTTTTTCGGAAGAAGGTGCGCACGGTCGACGGTCGTGTTTTCGTTCGGATGTGTTCCTCGGACCTTGGTTTCTAGTCCCGGGCTGGGCTGCAGCGGCCCAAGTGCATGGGCACGCTCGGTCCTAACGTAGTAGGATGCGCGTGCGCGCCTGTAGGAGGCTGGTACCAAATAGCTCAGTAGTACCCGGGTACTAAATAGGGTTATATATATATATATATATATATATATATATATATATATATATATATATATATATATATATATATATATATATATATATAGTTTTTCTCGAGAAACGAAAACGACATTTATTTAGGGAGAGAGGGAATATACAGCATGTTCGTTTGGTCATATTTGACTTATCAGCGATGACTTATCAGTCAACGAACAATATTTTTCTCTCACACTAAATCAGTCAACAGTACTTTCAATCATGACTTATAAGCCAAACCAGGCCAAACGCGATAATCCGTATCTGGATCAAACACGCAGGCGAACAAGGTGCCCTCCAATTCGGAACGAGAAATCTGCACTCCAGTTCCAGTTACCTCTCAATCAAAGGCCATGTTTAGTTGGCCGAATTTTGGATTTTAGGTTATTGTAGAACTTTCGTTTTTATTTGGCAAATAGTCTTCAATCATGGACTAATTAGGCTCAAAACGTTCGTCTCACGATTTCCATCCAAACTGTGCAATTAGTTTATTTTTTTCGTCTACATTTAATGCTCCATACACGTATCGGAAGATTCGATGTGATGGCTACTATAGCACTTTTTAGGATTTTGGATTTGCAACTAAACACGGCCAAAGAGATAAACCCAGAAACCATTTCCGTTTCCGTGATCTGACTCTGTAGACTCTGCATGCGAGCAGGGGGTCTGACGTCTGAGCTGGGCAGACATCAGACAAACACCCACCCATGACCCATCCCATCAGAATTTTGCCAAACATGGAGGCTCTGCACAATTGTTGCCTCTGAGTCTGACAGCCCCCCTTCAATTTCACAAGTCAAGATGGTGTCGCCATCATTTGCCTGGCTATCTCGCGATTTCCCTTTGCTTTCTACCGTGACCGAGATAGGGAACCAGCACAAAGCGAAGCTATAAGCGGCTGACACCACGAAAAGGCGAACAGCAGGGAGCATTGCCATTTGATACTCACAGCCTGTTCGGTTGGCTGGTTCGTTTCGTTATTGGTTCGTGAAGAAGTATTGCTGGTCGGTTTGTATGAGAGAAAAATACTGTTCCAGTTGAAAATTTACGATCGTTTACGATGAGCCACAGCCAAACGAACAGGCTGTCAACCCCTCCTTCAGTTCCGGCACTGTTTTCCTCTCCAAGCAGCTATACCCACATAGTCTGATGGACGATACTCCTATGAATCCCATTTGACATGTACTCAATCCAACTCTCAACAAGCGTTGCTTTCCAACAGACGCACTGATCATGAGTACGGCAAAGAATGGCCAAGGCAGTTGCATGTGGACATCCATGATTCAGACACAGCTCTCACAAGGGAACATCACAAGAAACGGACTTGGCATCTATATAGGCTTATCTTTACGTACTACCTTTATCTCATCACATATACTACTTGGTGCCTTGGTGGTAGTAGGAGGATGAGATAAACTTCAGGCTTGCTGGGACTTCCAGCACCCCAAGTGATAATGTACAATAGCGATGACATGGGCAATACACCACTTGCGGGCTTTCAGGTCAGAATGCGCGCCTCAAAAAACTTCCAGCTGAAGCGACGGCGCAAAACCACGGCATCCTTTCAGCACAAGCTGCCATCCTTACAATTCAGCTAGCTGAGGATCCAATCACCCTGCGTTCCTCCAACTCGAATTGTTGAATTTTTTCTGGATATCTGCAATGAACAAAGACTGGACGGCACTTGATATATTCAACGATATAGATCAAACCGGCAATCGATAGTAGTAATTAGGAAGCAATAGGATTAAATTACAGTTTGAATAGGGCATATATTTACATTATTACACAATCGAGAGAATGAAACCATGATAAAAGGAAGAAGGATAGACACAATTGAGAGACCCCCACCCCCCAACTAACACACTACTACTAACCCAGACCCCCACCCCACCTGACGACCTGAAGGAACCTATCGATTGGAGCGAACTTGACTGATGAACCCAGGCACGGGACATGAACGAATCCGGAGATCCCTCGACGATGACCGCCCAGCATCAGATCTTGTTGATCTTCTCGGCCATCACGACGGGGTTCTGCTTGGCTATCTGCTCCCTGGCCGCCGTCTTGTAGTCGAAGGTGCACTGGTGGGAGTCCGTGTAGCGGTGCATGGAGCAGAAGGTCCCGCCGCAGCGGCACTGGAAGCCAGTCAGCCCGACCTTCTTGCGGCAGGTCAGGCACCGGTTGCTCGGCGGCTTTGGGGGCTCCTCCTGTGCTGCTTGCCTGTTGTCTACAGCTACGGCTTCGGCAGCAGCGGCGGCGGCGGTCGCATCGTCTCGCTTTGCTGCCTCTAGTGGAGGCACCGCAGAGGATGATGGCCCTATGATCAACTTCTTCTCCACCGCAGGGTTTTCCATCAACTTGATGAAGTCCCTATAGCACTTCGAGCACATATTGTTTGTCATGCTGCTGCCGAAGAAGCCACAATTGTTTATGCACAGAATTGGGGCCTCAGGGGCGTGGACTCCAGTCTCCTCGGACTCTTGTTTCCAGCTCTCTTGTGCCATTGCTATCAACAGGCTGCAGGGACAAAAGTTCAGATTTCATTAGATGGCAAATAAGAGCACAAAATCAGCAAGTGACAAACAGACAAAAATACATGATTCGGGTTCAGAAAGAAATACGACCCAATGTCCAACAGTTGGAACTATAAAGGTTGTGCAGACAGAAACTGAGAGGAAATTAACAGTGCTGGATTGAATCATGAAAAGGAGGGCAGCAAATTTCAATCATTGTTTCCCTTATGGAATGCAACTGTTTCAGACCATCAGCTAAAAAACAAATCTGAATTGCAAGAGGGCACAAATAAACAATCCCAGGCTATCAATGTTCATGTCAATTTTATCCCAATGGGGTCATTCTGCAAGGTCTTTCAAATAGTTCTAGTTAACTGAAAACACAGCCCAGATTATTCAGATAAGCAGCAGCTGCAGGCAAAGGACATGTTAGCAATCAGCAGTTCAGCACCCAGTCTCAAGCTGTTTCAAACATCAAAAGTTAATGTATATGCTTCTATCCGCAGTCCATTGTGAATTGATTGATTGAAACATCAACAGTAGCTACCATGATTCTTTCTTCCTGATAAGACTAATTATTACTAGCACATACCACCAGGTGCCCAGGTTACTGAAAACAGTAAGGAACATTATCGTATCTGTCAGCATATCAATCACAACAAAATAAAGACAAGCACATCGAACCTGCAGAGCAGCAATGGTATTGTGAGCCAGCAACACGCACCCCAGGTCTTCTGTGTTAGCTGATCTAATTGTGCTTGAGCCTTGAGCACTATCCCATCCTTATTGGTCATCCTATATAAACAACTGAAGCTCTGCACCCATGGCTAATCAACCGCCTCACACAATCGCTTTTGGTTGCTCCGCAAGTAAAGATTGCTTATGCACCACCAACACAAGGCAGCCAACTGGCAGCGACCGGGTGAAGCAACCTATGCCTGGACCCTGGAATCCCAATCACCCAGATGCACAAACAATTCACACAGTCAAACTTAATCACAGCATTTCCAGCCATATGCCCAAGCAATTGCCCTTGCCAGTTGCCATGGTCACCACGAGACCTCTTGCCGCAATCCACCCGCAGTCATGGATGTGCCAGGCACGGCAAGGAAGCCTGCCGCTTAATCCAAGCAAGGGCATGGGATAATCCGAGAGAGCTTCCTGATCAGCGTATGCCTCCTGACGTGCTCCATGATTCGGCACCATGTTCACAGAAGCAAACCATGCGCCCGCCCGCAAATCAACCGTAGCATGCACCCAGCGCGGGCATGGATGAACTTTCCCCAACCGCCGGCGACCAACCAGGCAACCACCAAGTTCACCACCAAGCATAGCTCGACCGACCGACACGCTTCACCGATTCACTCCCCCTCCCAGCCTAGAAACAATCCACGGCACAAATGATTCGGGAAGAATTAATAAAGGGGAAACAAATCCAAAATCGAGCCCCACACAAATTCTGTCCTCCAAAACTGCACGACGACGGCACCAACCACAGCGGTCAACCCAATCCGCCACGCAGATCCAAGCGAATCGCCACTCGTCGATCCAATCGCAACACCAGGCAACCAACGAATCAGCCAGCCGCCTCGAAAATTCTAAGGAAACAAAAAAAACATACATACATCTCGACACGACACGAACCCGCTAGCGACGGGCCTGAGAGGCTGAGACGGAGACGCGCGCGCCACGGATCGGCCGGCCGGCGCGGAAAACCGCGAGGATCAGATCTGGGGCCGTGGAGGAGGAGGGGAGGAGGAGGAGGAGAGGCGGCGAGCGGTGGCACCAACCTGTGGGCGAGACGGCACGCGACCTTTTCCCCGCGGAGAATTTCCTTTTTTTGTTCTTTTCCTTTTTTTTCTGTTCTGGCGTCGAGACTCAAGAGAGGCGAAGGAGGGTTATTCCGGGGTTGGCGTGCGCTTATAAAGGCCAGCCCGTTTCGCAGGCCTCCTCGCCGTTGCGATTACGCGTCAGATTAGATTAGATTAAAAAATGTCACGCGTATTAAACTGGGTGGTTAGTGTGTGGACCCTTCTAGACGGGGCGGAGACGGCCGGCACGGCGAGATCGTTCGTTTATATAGGATCGTGGATCAGAGAGTATTTTTTTTTTCGCATCAAACCTGTTAGGAATACTTTTGACTTATAATCCACGATTCGTTTCGGCTGAAACGAACGGCTATATGGTGGAGCTGCGGGTGTGGGGCCGTGGGGGTGGTGGCAGGGCCCGCGTGCCAGCAGGGGGGGTGGGGTGCAGCCGTGCAGGGCGTTCGTTGGTCGTGGTGGACCATGCGGGGAAAAGACTGGCAGGCTGGGGCCACTTGCCCGTGGTGTGGCCTGGTGGGTTCTCTCGCTTTTGGTTTGGCGGGTGGGGATGACCAGGCCTGTCCGGCTGTATTAAAATCGGTTGATAAATTGGTTAAAACCGATTTCTTGTGAGAGAAAAAATATTATAGGTTACAATTGATAAAATTTAGATGATAAATTAAAGTGAACAAGCCTGACGTGGCTGCTCTGGGTCCACATGGGATCGTACGTGTGTAATGTAACTTTACAGCAACATGGACTGCTGAGTGCTGAGTGAGCTAGTGGTATGTTCGGCACTTCTTTTTTTTTGATTGGGCTCCACGTTTCAATCGATTGCTGGTACTAGTACTACGTTTAGTGTGAGATGATAAACATGATCTGCAAAAAATTGTTCCGATGGTCTTTTCATCATTGTTACGATATAAAAAAATGCTGTGTGTTTTTTTGGATGCGAGAGCGAATCTAAATGGAAGAGTTGTTACACTCTTCTTTCTTACTAACCTGCCTTATCAATTATCTATATCTTTATGTCTATACATCTAAAATTAAAATAAAAAGATTATTAGACACGGAGTGTGTCGTATTTTACTTTCCCGTAATAATGCTCTTATATGTTTCTCTTTTCCGACCATGACCCGAACTCATTGTCTGTGCTTATATGAGTTGGAGAAAAGGTATATCTTGCCGTGGTTCAAAATCCGATTATGACATATTGGAATGACGTCATGATTGTTGCATATCGAGTCATAAGTTCTCCATGTAACCAAACAACAAGCTGTGCATTATGATACAACACATGTGCATGTTTACTAGTTTTATATTAAATCAAAAGGAAAGATAAATATAATACCATTATGGATATGTACAACCCTAGAAAATATTAAATTAAAAGAAAAGATAAATATAATACCATTATGGATATGTACAACCACCATGGGTAACCGTGGGTAGTGGCGGACCTAGAAAAAATCATAGGTGTGGCAAACTTTAGCTATTCTATATAGTGGAGCTAACTTTAGATGCAAGGTAGACTAAAAGCGAAAAAAAGAACACAAACATGCATGGTAAAGGTACAAAATATAGCAAAACAATGAGAGAACAATGCTTTTAAAAACTACACCTCAAACTTGAAAAATTAATTTTGTTCATGAACCAAGCAATACTTCAGATTCATTTGGAATTCGTCACATGTTTATAATAAAAAAAGTATATAGTAAAATAATGAAAGAACGATAGTTTTATTCCAAGTTCATTTGGAATTTGTCACATGTTAAAGATAAAATTGTTTCTACTTTGAGAGAGAAGTGTTACATGTTCCCGAAATTGTTCTAGGTTCGAGTTGAAAAGGTTCTACCTTTAATAGAAAAAAATGTCTTGCTTATTTGCAATGTATTAATAGATATCATTACTACTATTTTACTTGTTTGAACCAATGTTCCACTGTTTGTTGGCAGTTTCACTGTTAGTATAAATAAAATAAATATGAAATCAGGAACAATAATAATAAAAATAAAAAAAGAGAAAGAATTGTGTAAAAGAAACGCGTGAAAGTGAACGGCCCAGGAAAAGGCCCGTGTGGGTGCCCTCCCTGTTAGGCTGGGCCGAACAAGCCCGGGCCGCTAGCACCGCCGCACACCCCGCGTGCGCGCCCTCTCTCTCGCTTGCTCAGACGTCAGAGCTACCGCCTCCGCCGCCACCCCGTGCGCGGCGCGCTCTCTGTCGCTCGCTCTCAGCTACCGCCGCCGCCGCTCTACGGCAGGTGCCGAGGCTTTTATCGGTCTCTTCGCCGGAGAAGAGCACACACCAGGTATTCCCACCCCTTCTCTGCCCTTCCCTCCGTGCGAAACCGAGCCCCCAAACCCTTAACTTCAAGCTATTCGCCTGTTCGGCTATTGGATGCCGGCTAACTTCGAACTTTATGCAAGTATTATCTTGTGTGTGTACCGACCCTGCGCTCGTGTCCTACCGCAGTAGTGAGGTCGAATTTCACCTCTCCCTTAAACTCCTTCTAGTTTCGTTCAAAATCAGAGGCTGTCGTGTCAATTTTATCAATCTCAGTGCAATAGAGATCAAATCCTTACAATGTCATGCGCTATGATTCATATTGGACTCAATTTCATGTCCAAATTTCAAGTCTCTGGCTCAGTTCACCCAGACTGTTGTCAGATGTTTTTTTTTTGCTACTGTTGTAAACTTGTCAGGTAGTTTACCTATCTCAACTTTATTCTGTAGGTGCCGTGTTAATCCTGTTCTTATTGGCACACAGCGGATGCAGCGTGCTCCACCATTGTCATCGTCATGTAATGATTGGCTGATTGCAACCTGTGAAATCAAGGGTCTAGCCTGCAGAACCAATCAGATAGGAATGGGCTTTCAGGTTAAAACTAAAAAACAATCTCATAATAGCAGCTGTAAAAGATGTCAATAGAGTTCAAACATCAGGAACTTGTTTCTGATGGGCAGACCCAACCCAACTAATGTGTCATCCATATAGGATTGAAATGACTGGACTAGTAGCCTTCCTGTAATCAGCTCGAGCCTCCAGGAGGACTAAATCATAACTTGTTTTGAACTTATTATTATGCTGAATAAGATACTGTAAGCACTTTTAAATATATGTGCAAACACTATTGGTTATTTTTCTTGTTAATTTTTGTACTTGTATTACCGTATTGTGTATTGGATTACACCAAATCGCATATGGTAGAATTGGCTAGGACTACCCTGGTTCAAATCCTTGGTTCGCCACTCATACTTGATAGTAGTCTTGATGTGATTTAGATGCATGGATCTTGTTTTCCAATCTGGATTCATCGATTCAAGATTCGATGTATGGATTCATAGATTCATATTTGATGCATAAATATGGCGCTACTGTTAGAACCGTAGTAGAGTAGTATATTGTCTTTCTGGCCAAATGTATAACTCAGATCAATGTTAGCTATTACCTAGCCGGAATTCCGTAGCACAAGACATAAACTTCCACTTAGTTATGTCTTGTTTTTTTCTTCTTGTTATAGGTGTTCTTCTCTCGTGCCTCTTTAATTGGGAACACGCGGGTTCTGAATTATGTTCTTGAATTGTTCTTCAGTCTTTCACCCAGAGAAGGTAAAATGATCAAGAGGCGCTACTTTAGGCAGGACCACGGCAATGACAGTGACTCCTCATCGTCTTCCTCCTCATCGGGTTGTGACTCAGACGGAGATTCAGCGGAAGAGGCAGTCAGCAGTGAGGAAGTAGAGGAGGTGCAAGAAGAGGAAGCAGTCAGGGAAGAATCAGGAGAAGAAGAGGAAGTGGAAGAAGAACTAGAACAACAAATTGAAGAAGAAAGTGAGTATAACCACATATCATGGTGTGTGTTGAGATCCCTTGCATGTATTCTTCTCTGTTTCTCTGTTACGTCGCACAATTTTGTCTTGTGTTTCTGCAAGTGGACAACCTGATGTGGTTGGGTGAGTTTAATGTGTTTAATCTATCAACTTCAATGT